ATTCTTTCGCATGGTCTTGATTTAGGTCCAAAGATAACTTCCAGTGGTTTATGATCTGTTATCAGTTCAAATTGTTTGCCGAAAAGAAAGATATCAAAGTGCTCTATTGCCTATACTAATGCCAGTGCCTCCTTTTCCGTTTGACAATATCTCCTTTCACATTGAGTAAATGTTTTGTTTCCATATGCGATGATTCTTGGACCATTGGAATCTATTTGTACTAACACTGCGCCAAGTCCAACTGGACTTGCATCTGCAATCACTTGTGTTCTGTCTCGTACGTCATAATATCCCAATGACTTAATATTTGCGATATTGGTTTTAAGTTTGATAAACGCTTGTTCTTGTTCATTAGTCCAATGTTTATCAAGACTTGCGATTTTTAATAATTTTCTTCGTGTCAGTATTTTCAACGGTTCTGTCGATGTGGCTAAATGAGGAATCCATTTTCCTACAAAGTTAACGAGTCCTAAAAAACTTTGTAACCTGTTGACGTTATGAACGTTGTAATGTGTCGTGAATCAGGGTGTATTTCTACTTGGTGAAATGCAAGTTTTATGTCAATCCTACTAAAAAAATTAGCTTTATTTATTTTTGGTAGAATTTGGTCCATTGTTGGTATTGGATGGTTTTCTCGTAAAATTGCTGCATTAGGTCGTCTCATGTCGATGCACACGCAGACATCTCCATTTTCTTGTAATAATGGCACCATCGAGGAAACCCATTTATCTGGATCTATGACATTCTCAACAATATCGAGGGCTATTAAATTTTCTATTTTCCTTTCAACTTTTTCTTCTAATGGAATTGCGATTCTTCTATATGGTTGCGAGATTCGCTGTACAGAGTGGAATGTGGATTAGTACATCTTTAAATTTTGAAAAAGCAGAAGTTTCAATTTTGTTAACTCCGATGCCTATTTTCAACACACCTAAACATTTAGCCGTCTCTTTCCCCAAAAGGTTGGCGCTCCCATTTTCAATAACATAAAATGTAGAGAGTTCTTTATGGTCTCCTAAACAAACAACTGCTTGGAAATAGCCTTTTACATTTAAGGGAGTATCACATCCATATGATTTGAAAACTTTATCAGAATTTTTTATTTGGTTGCATACTTGTATATTATTTTGTTTCATTATTTCCCATGTTTGACTTGTTAATAAATTTAACTTACACCCCGAATCGATTAGGATCTTCGTTCTGACTCCCCCAATACAACACTCTACGACTGCATCATCATCAATGTGGAAAATATAATTTACGTCTCTTGTTTCTGATTTTTTAAATCGTTTTTTTTCGTCCTCCTGTTCGTGGTTTTCGTCCGAATGTCTCTTTCGTGGTAGTCTTGTCCTGCAATATTGACGAAAATGTCATACAAGTCCACATTTGAGGCATTTTTTGTCTCTCGCTGGACATTTTGGATCACGTGATTGATGTCTGTAGTTTCCACATCGTCCACAACCTTTATTTTCTTTCACTGATTTGTTGTTACTCTTAAATTTAGAGTTATCTATTTTATTGATTTCTTGAGTTTTATTTTCGATGGTCGTGAATTCTTCTAATTGTCTTTTTACTATATCTAGTGTATTAGCTTCTGTAATAATTTTTTCTAATGTAACGGTGTCCCCCATTTGTAAATTTTTTTTTCTAAGTTCTTTCGAGACACATTTTTCTACAATTTGATCGATGAGAATTATTTCTAGGGATGTGAATTGACATTTGTCTGCCTGGTTTCGCAATCGAACAAGAAATTCTTCAAACTTTGCATTAGTTTCTTGTTTTACAAGTCGAAATATATGGCGTTCGTATACTTTACTCTGCTTAGGTGAAAAGTACTAATCTAGTTTGTTTATAGCGGTGTCAAACACATCTACGTTATCAGTTGACTCGACATTAGCACCGGGTATATTATAATAAATCTCTTGGAGTTTAATACCTCCTAAATGCAAGAGATGAGCTCTTTTCTTTTCATTATTTGTGATATTTGCTGCTTTCAGGTATATAGTTAGTGCTCGTTTCCATCTCTCCCACCTGATGCTGATGGAACCATGGTCACCGTCACAATCAAATTTTTCGAGACTTTGTGTCAAATTTGCCATTGCGTCCAGTAAGGGTTTTGCCTACACAGAGAGATTAAAATATATTTATTTATTCCATATGATAAATTTGTTAATTACAAAATTGAAGATTTGACAATTTTGTGGATAGATTTGAAATTTAATGCGCAATGAGATAATAATGTTTTAGTGAAATTTAAATATTTCGTTATAAATTTGTTAATTACAAAATTAATGATTTGACAATTTAGTGGATAGATTTGAAATTTAATGCGCTATAAGATAATAATGTTTAGTGTATTCTTTTCTTTGACAAATTTCATGGCTTTTCCTTTGTTTACTTTTCTTTAGACCTTCTTACTTGCTTTATTCTCGTTATTTTACAAGAACCCAATTTAATGGCCAGTATTATCTACGTCTACTTATATATTCAACAGAAGGTCAACATGTATATTTATTTTACTCAATTTAATGAACAGGATTGTACCAGATTCTTTTTTTTCAACAATTCAACGCAATTAAATGCCTTTTTATATATATATACCTTTTTCGTTAATTCTCGTCGCCAATTTGAAGTGTGTATCTCCCTCTCACTGGCTCGGCAACGCCCACACCTAAAGAGTCGGTCGCTCTATCCGCTCCCTCTAAAGGACTGGCACAGACTGACTCTCCTCTCGTATGACCGCTCGAGACAATGCGCTCAGGTATAGGAGCCGAAGCACCTACTCCCACCACTACACAACAAATCTCACTTTATTAACACTTCACTTTTACCTCATTTTCACTTTACTCGTGCTTCATTTCTAATCTAATCTAACAACCGAGATCCAGCTAGATTTTCCTAAAGAGGGGAAAGTAAGCACCTAGATTAGAAATCTCTTTTATCGATAGGTTGCTCACCTGTTTAGGGTCAATAATTGCTTGACCCTAACTAGATAGCCTGATCCTAGCTAACGCTGGGCATTCAGATAATATGTGAGTCGAAGTTTCGTTACTCTTCTCACACAATCTGCACATATAGTGATGCATTTGAGCGATACGATCCGATATACGAACGATATGCTCGCTTTTCTCAATTTGACAATCGAACTGTCAACTCGCTTTTGTCTCAGAAAACCGAGCATCTCGGTTCGTCGAACGAGTATTTCGAGCGCCTCGTTTTTAAAATAGGTTTAATATGAAGTTGTATAGGTAGTTAATAGGAAAATTACAAAATTTAAATATTTATAAAAAAAGTAAACAAAATTTACATTTTTTCAGAAAAAATGTAAAATTTAAGTGCAGGTTTTATTTTTTAAAAATACTGTTAGATATAAATTAAATAGTTAATCTTTTTGTTAAAAAGTTCAACAATATTGAAAATTTGCAATTGTAAGTAGGAAATAAAAATAACTAAAAATTTAAGTAAGACAACAAAAATTTCGCTTTAAATATGTAGGTACTGCTGTGAAAAATATCAGAAAAATAATTTTTTGAAATTCTAAATCAAGTTTAATTTAATACTATCAAGTTGATAATATCAAATAAATATAAACAATTAAACAAAAAATTCTAAAATATCAATTTGGGATTTTTATTTTAAAAAATTAATTCGTTAAATTTTTTTAATCGCAATTTACAAATTTATTTGAAGCAAAAATATATTCCTACAACAACCTAGCCATAAATAAGTCATAAATAATAAGAATCAAATAATAAGAAATAACATTAAACACAATTAAACGAACAGTATTTTTTTTCTCTGCTTTCCGTAAAATGAAAATCCTTTTTTCTTTCTCTTTTTTATAGGTGGAGCATCATTTTCCATTTGTTGATTACGTATTAAAGGAAAAAAATTATTTATATTTAATTATAAAGTTTATTAGTGTCATCAATTTTATTATTTTTTAATAATTATTTATTTATTCAAAAGAAGTTTTCTGCTTTATTCTTTGACATTTCAAAAAATAAGTGACAGTTTTGAAACTTCCGAGAAGATCGTTCGAAATTGTTTATAAAATGAGACGAGAAGATATGAAAAAAACAAAACAATATCCGAGATGATCGCCCTGAACTTAACTAGTAATATCGAACGATATCGAGCGAAATAACCAACTTTCTTGGATCGTTGTGCATCACTATGCACATAGGAGAAACTAGTCTACCTATTTTATGCTGATGGTAATTCAATAGTCCATGACCTGTAAGCAGACGAACTACGGTTCTAACTATGATCTTATCGAGTTTTAGGAGATCGCTCGCTCGCTTCTTGTTGAGTACTAGCCCCAACAGAGTTTTCGCTTGCCTTCCCACCCCAATGCCCGCCCAATACTTCTCATATTCCTTTTGACCCTATCTTTCTATGGCTCCCTTAACCAAGCACGGCATTATTGCCACTGCTGGTTCAGGAACTATAAATGCCATCTGGGAACCGATTTTTGCCAAGACGTCTACTCTTTCAATACCCTTGATTCCCGAGTGACCCGGTACCCAAATCAATAAAAGTTTATTTGCTGAACCCAACTCATCTAGTACGCTACGGCCGCGGCATTCCCAGACGAGTTTTGATTCCATTGTGGGATTTTTCAGAGCCCCTAAGGCCGCCTGACTATCCACACAAATACTAATCCTCTTGCCCTTTGTTCCGTTGTAAATGGACATTTGGGCGCAAGTTAAACTCGCACAGACCTCGGCCTGCCAGACCGTGGCGTATTGTCCTAGTGACTCAGACACTTTAATGCAGCCAGTTTTTCGATAGATTCCGAAGCCTGCACCGCAAACCATCTTGGAGCCGTCTGTATACCAGACTTCGTCCGCAAGTGGGAAACCTTTCTTCCAGTCCGTTCTGGAAGGTGTAATGATCTTAAAGCGGGGTTTAAATTTCACCCTCTTGGTCATTCTATCTTGCACCATACTTAATTCTGGGATTGATAGAATTGAGCGTGGAAGCTTGGTGTGTATACTTCAAAACTTCCACCTTCCCTGCGCGGTTAACCTGATCATAGTAAGAGCCGCCTTTTTCACCGCAGCAATATGCAGAGGTACTTCGGCTAATATGAATCCCAACGCAGCTGTTGGCGTGGTCCTCATAGCCCCCGTAATACCCCTGAAAATCATTGCTTGCAGTTGGTCCAGTTTCTTTTCAACCGTTATCAGTTGAGTCCTAGACCACCAAACAACCACCGCGTGAAGAAACCTTGGTTTTAAAATCATCTGATAGAGCTAGTTGACCATATTAGGCCTTAGTCTCCACGATGACCCTATCGCCCTTCTACACGCCCAAAAAGCAGTACAGAACCTTCTATACTGATATTCGAAATGTTCCTTCTAAATCAGCTTTTTATCCAGGATTACTCCCAGGTACTTAGCCGATTCAGAAAAAGAAATTTCTTTTCCATAAAATATCGGTTTCTTCAAACTCGGTACCTTATATTTTCTTGTAAAAACTACTATATTCGTTTTCTCTGGGTTTACAGAAAGTTCAGTTAGATTGCACCAATCCTTGACAATCTTAAGTGCACGTTCGGTAAGTTCTATGAGGGTCTCAATTGAGTGCCCTCTTATAATTATAAGAAAATCATCCGCATAACTATGCGTATAATATCCCTGGCTTTTGAGGTTTCTTATTAACTCATCTGACACTAAGCACCACAATAAAGGAGAGAGAACTCCTCCTTGTGGGGTCCCTTTTGAGACAAGGCCTGTTACCCTAGCCTCACCATACACCGCTTCAAGGGCCCATCGCGAAGCATGCTGTCGATCCACTTAATTAGCGGCTCAAGCACACCTCGCTTTCTGGCTGCTCTACAGATTACTTTGCTGGAGGTGTTAGGGAAGGCACCTTTAATATCAAGAAAGGTACCAACCGCATAGCCACCACTACTAATTTATTCCTCTATTTAACCTACTGCAGAATGGAGGGCTGTTTCTACTGAGAAACCTGCTCTATAAGCATGTTGTCCCTGGTGTAGAGGATGATCCCTAAGACATTCCTGTCTGATAAAATTATCCACCAGTTTCTCTAACGCCTTTAATATAAAACAAGTTAGACTGATTGGTCTGAAGTCCTTGCAGCAGTATACCCTGACCGACCGGCCTTCGGAATAAACACAACGCTCGTCTTTTTCCGAGACTCCGGTGTGTAACCAAGAGCTATACACGCTCTCATAATTTTACACAGGGGTAGCCTAATACATTCCAATCTCTTTTGCAAAAGAACTGGATATATACCGTCCCCCCTGAGGCGTTAAATGGTTTGAAAGTGCCTATTGCCCAATTAATTCCTTCCGGAGTTACAACTTTGGCTGCTAGTTTTCAGTGTTCCCGATTTCCTCGGGCCCTTCTGGGTCCCACGCCATAGTTATTCTCCAACTTTTCTCTAAAGTCCGGGAAGTTTACTTCCATCAAATACTTTAGACATTAGGTAACTTAATGGTAGTTAGTTTGGCCATTGGGTCTCTAGCTATTACCTTATGGAGTCTTAATGCTTCTGGTACTCTTTCGATTCCCTCGCAAAAGCTCCTCCAGCTGATACCCCGTGCCTTCTCTACCTCTTTCTTGTAAGAATTACGAGCGGCATGATATTCATCTCATGCTTGCTGATTCTTACGTTTCTTGGCTTTATTAAAAAGCTTTCTTACTGTTTGCCTATGTCCCTCCAAACAGAAGTTCCACCATTTACTACCCCTGTTGGAGTCAACTTTTTTGACTACACAGCTTCTTTCAAAAGAGCAGATAATCGAATCTCGCAGATATTCCGCTGCGAGTTCCAACTCTTCATATGTTCCATAAGAGGTGGGGAAGCACTCCATGGAGGCCTTGAGGTCCTCAATATATGAAGCCCAATCAGTACTCCTAGGATTACGTACCCATTTATGTTCCCGATCTTTCGATTCCATTCTGAATGTAATAAGTCTGTGGTCCGAGAGGGAATCTGCATCAGACACCCTCCAGTCCCTCACACCACTCCACACAGACTTGTTACAGATAGTAATATCCAACGCTTCTTTTCTGTTAACAGTAACGAAAGTTGGCTCATTACCCTGATTTAAAATTTCTAAATCCGTATCTATCAGAAATTCTAAAAGTCTTCTGCCTCTGTCGTTAACGTCAGTGTTGGCCCATACGACATGGTGCGCATTGGTATCACAACCTATTATCAAAGGGAGACTTTGCCGTTGACAGTAATCTACCAACTTCTCCACCTCTGTAGGTGGTGCGGGGTCATCCCCCGATCCCGGAAAATAAGCGGAAGCTACTACAACCTCCCTTTATTTCCGTTCTTTTCCAAGTACTTAGCCTTAACAACAGCTAAGTTGTTAACATCCACTTAGACCTATAATCTTTCCGTTGTAAACCCAAGGTTCTTGAACAAAGGCTATAGCTGCCTGCATCCTTGTAAAGTTCCTGGCTAGAATCGCCGAAGCGCTCTTACAATGATGCAAGGTAATCTGCATACAGTGGATCCCGGAAGTAGCCATATTTAAGACTGACTCACGGTTTCCTCTGTCGCCTCGACACCCTGATCGCCAGCATCGTGATCCCCCAAAAAGGGCTCTTCGACGCTCGCGTGTGTGGTTTTATTTTTTTTCCATTAATTTCTGTAGTATCCATTATTGTCCCACGAGAAAAAAAGGAGAAGAAGGTCAATCCTTAAAGAGCCTCTATTTAAGGAAAAGGGTAGTTACATCTGAGAGGTCGCCTGGTATCCCAGAGTCTCGTTTAAGATACCTCCATTCGGAGCCCCACCATGGGAACGTGGCGCCCACAAGGACGGGCCCCTCCTGTAACGCAACCGCTTCCAAGCTTTACGAGAGCTAAGCCCCCCGGAAGAACCCGAAGAATTTGGTAACCCTGATATCATTCATCCATGAACACGAGTTTATCACGGATTGGGTGGCAGAGACTCACGCCTCAATCGCCATGGCTCAGCCAACGAAACCATGGAAGGGTTTCTTCTTAGTCAGACTCCGCCAGCAGGAAATCTTCGGAATGGACCCGCGGTTAAGCCTCTGTCCATCCCGTCTCTCTCGATATCCATCTAAATTCCCGTGCCCTGGGACACTGCCCAGCGAAGCACAGAAGATTCTGTTTCTAGAGCGGCCGACCCATTTTGAAGGGTTCGCCCCCTCAGTCCCCGCGAGAGATATCGAGAAGTAGCCTCCCGCTGGGTAAGAGCCCCTCAAGCAAAACCTCCCACCAACGGAAAAGTCTTGAATTTTCACCTCATTTTACTCTCACTTTACTTTCACTTTACATTCACTTCACTTCAATTTCAGTCCATTAAAACACTTCACTTTCACCTCATTCTCATATTACTTTTATTTCACTTTCACCTCATTTTACTCTCACTTTACTATTACTTTATATTCACTCCAACATCGATTCTGTAACTTCACTTTAATGAATGAAGCGTTTCTATTAAAACGCTTCACTGTCACCTCATTCTCACTTTACATTCACTTCACTTTCACTTTATTCTTACTTCACTTCACTTTCACCTCATTTTACTCACCCTTTACATTCACTTCACTTTCACCTCATTTTATTCTTACTTCACTTCCACTCTAACATCGATTATATAACTTTACTTCAATTTTATTCCATTATCAGTGCGTTCAAAAAATATTTTTTCAAGTAATTAACACTCTACATGTGTAATATTATTCATAAGCTTCACTCTTTTATCATATTCATACTTACAATTAACAACTTAACATATTGAAAAATCTTAACATCTATACAGATTCGAACCCTACCTAACTTATTTTTAACGCAACCTAAAATCGCACGCATTTACACTAAATCTTTCGGCTACGCAATCGCTATGAAAAAAAATTTTGGTTACCCGCATATATCCCTTTCCCATCCCAATGGGAAATCTCTGTACAATGCCAACAGTGACAAATGGCCAAACCTTGTCAGGTAAATCTTGGCGCAGTACAGAATAAATGTTTTCGCCATAGTTATGACCAATCTTGGCAAGTAAACTTCGGCTTAGTACTGTAAATATGCTTTTAAGAACTTAATTTCAAAATTCATAAATGGAATAAATTTTTTGTTAATTATTCACTGGAAAAAAAATTCAATACGAAATTAACAATATATCGTTAGTTAAAAATGTTAAAATATTTGTAGTCATATTCTTATATTAACTAAATTTTTAGTAATATGAATTAAAGTTGTGAAGTTAAATATACTTTTTCAGATGGTTAAAATGACTTTTGTTGAATTTGCTTCGTACTTCATTTTGATGACAGTTGGTAAAGCAAACTACATTGAACAAGTTAAACAAATTTAATGAATATTAAATATTAATAATATTTATTTATTTATTTAATAATAAATATTAAATTTAATTTTGGTGACAGTTGGTAAAGCAAACTACATTGAACAAGTTAAACAAATTTAATAAAGTTAACACAAGCCTCTTGGTAAAACCAACCATCTTGTTAGGCTGTTTTCATTCACATTTCACAAAAGGAAGCTCACTTCCTTCGTATGTATGTATATTCTAAATTTCCATACATGAGCCTCCGTGGTGCTGTTTGTAGAGCATCCGCTCCTAGCAGCGTCTTGCGTTCGAGACCTCATGCTGGTAAATATTTAGGAAAATAGCAAAACAAATTTTCTTCGACAGGTATTAACATTCCAAGCGTACATAACATGAGAATAGCATAAAATATTTTTTTTACTTGAATTTATAAATTTTTTTTATAAAAATAAAAGTAACATCGGCGTGTTACTGAAAATATGTATTCACCTGTACTGCCGCAACACTAACATTCTGTATTGACGCCAGTACTGAGTTAGTACCGATTGTCAGTACAGAACATTGTCTACATGCCTACGTTATATCTGTATTTTCCGAGTACTAATTATTAGAATTTCTTCAAGTAATATTTTCACCATATTGAATGTAAAAAGTAATACAAATTTTAATAAAATTTACAATGACGATGTAAAAATTCAAATTCTTAAAGCAGTTTTTAAAAGTGACTAATGTAATAATTACTATTATTAATTTTTACTACCAGAAATAGCTACTTCATGCGAAGTACATTTTACAATGAATAGTAATTTTTAATATAAAAGTAGAATTATTACTATTCCATAGGATCTTTTACTAGAAACTCACCACCATTTTTCTCCGTGTAAGAGCGTAGTTTTTATCAAGGTTCTTCGAAATGCACGTGATGGTGCAATTAAGACAAATTCTTTTCAAGTTCAGGAAGAAGAACGCACTGAAGTCTATATATTTTCCTAAATAAAGACTAAAACGAGCAAAAAGTACATATATATATATATATATATATATATATATATATACTTTATGTAATTAGAACATTCTTTAATTACACTTTGACTCTAGATTATCCTTTCAGAATTTCTCTTTCATTGGAAATGTTTTATTGTTTCGTAAAAGAGTTTGATTAAAATTATAAAGTGGAAAAATATTTCTTAAAACAGAATGTTTTATAAGTTTTAATACATAATTTTATTAGTTTTAAATTTTAACTGTAATTTGAAAGATTTTACATGATACATAATTATATTACATACACACATGTTCCATAATATTTTTAAAAATAATGATAACAATGATGATAATAATAATATTAATAATAATAATAATATTAGTAATAATAATAATATTAATAATTAATATAATATTAATAATAAAACAAATTAATGAAATATAAAACAATTTTGTCGAATGATTATTCAACTAATAATAATTGTTGAGTAACGCACTGGGAGAATATTACACATATATACGATATTGTTATAATGGAATGACATAATATTCATAGGTACCATAGCTTGTCCTTTGAGTCTTCTAATCAGTTTGATTATTCTGATATGCTTATATATATACGAATATTGCAGACGCATCACGATTACTCGTAATATATTTCGTCTTCGTATTGGTGTATATATAGAGCGAAATCAACATCAAATGGGCTCACTTAAATTAGCGAGAACCATTAATATGTATTAGAACTATTCCATCGTGGATATTGTATTTGTCCAAGAATCACAGTATGCGTATATGAGGCATTTTACGTGAAATGTCCTAAGTTGAAATTTCAACTTCTTGAAAAAAATTGAAACTCAGGGAATTTGTTGTTCTATCAAGTAGAAATGTGCCCCAAAAAACATTTTTGATTTTTTCGAAAATTTGGAGGGGGTAGAGGGGGGTCAATTTGACCAATTTTGCGAACACCGGCTACTTTGTGAAGTTTCTCCGAACATACTTTTTAATGGGAAAAATTTTGTAGAACATGTTTCTGAAAGGTTTTTTCGTCCTCTTTCCAATAGTGAATTTTATTTTTAAATATTTTAAAAATTTACCCAAATTTTTGATAATTAATATTTAATTTTCAATTTCCCAAAAATCGGTCCGCCAGTTGTAAATTTCCCATTGGGTTATTGCATTTAACATTTTACAAGTGGTAATTTTTAAATAATTTTTTATTCATAGTAAGAAGTATAATAGTATTTTAATAAGAACCAAATTATTGTTGAGATTAAAGTTTAAATTTTGTTTTTAATTTTAATTTGTTTAAATAATTTATTAATTACAAAATTAGACAATTAGGTATGTTAAATTATTATTATTATGAAATTTAATAAAAATAAAAAATGAATAAGGTAAAGGTACCAGTTATGAAACGCGGTCATAATTTTGTCCCTATTATGAAACAGTATTACAAAAATTAAAATAAATGCAATTAAAATTGCTGTTAAGAAAATTCTAGTTATTTCAATAAATTTTACACGATATAAGAATTATCATTTCTGTATAGTATTTAATTTAAAAAGAAATGTTTAATTACATTTTAGCTTTTAAATTAAGGTTAGCCAGGTTTTCGTCAAACTACACGGAGAGAAAAAACAAGGCTTTCCCCGTGACTTCAATTCATGCCTTTTTCAGGTAGCAGTTTCACCGGATTTCCCGATGAATTTCTTGCGTTTAGCGGTTAGGCCTTGCCTTAGCCCCTATTGGCCTTAGCTCGTTGCAAGAATCTCACCGGGAAAACCCGTGAGCGTCCTGCATTTTTACTGTGATAATTTTCACGCGTTAAATGCATATTTTTTCATGGGGAAAAGCCTTGATTTTTCTCTCCGTGTACCGTTTCATATTAGGTACACTTATTATTTGCATGTCCCGATTGATGGAACAGACAAAAAATATGCAACAAATACAACCTCAAATATTTTCAGTATTTTCGCATTACTTTCCTACCGAAAAAATTGATTACACGGAAAGAAAAAGTCCGTCAATCATTAATAGACTAGTATATTACTTTGAGACGCGACACAAAATCATTGAATGGATAACATTCTTTGAGTCACAATCAATGACGAGTTGCTTGCTAAAATTTAGAAAACTGTCATCAATATATAAAACTCGTTCACTAAAATTTAGAAAACTGTCTATTAAATTTCCTATGACTATCAAAAGCATTCAAAAAAT